ATTCCTAGCTGTTGTTATTTCTGTTATTCCTAGCTGTTGTTATTTCTGTTATTCCTAGCTGTTGTTATTTCTGTTATTCCTATTTCTGTTATTCTGCTGTTGTTATTTCTGTTATTCCTAGCTGTTGTTATTTCTGTTATTCCTAGCTGTTGTTATTTCTGTTATTCCTAGCTGTTGTTATTTCTGTTATTCCTAGCTGTTGTTATTCTGTTATTCCTAGCTGTTGTTATTTCTGTTATTCCTAGCTGTTGTTATTTCTGTTATTCCTAGCTGTTGTTATTTCTGTTATTCCTAGCTGTTGTTATTCCTGTTATTCCTAGCTGTTGTTATTTCTGTTATTCCTAGCTGTTGTTATTCCTGTTATTCCTAGCTGTTGTTATTTCTGTTATTCCTAGCTGTTGTTATTTCTGTTATTCCTAGCTGTTGTTATTTCTGTTATTCCTAGCTGTTGTTATTCTTCCTGTTATTCTAGCTGTTGTTATTCCTGTTATTCCTAGCTGTTGTTATTCCTGTTAGCTGTTGTTATTCCTGTTATTCCTAGCTGTTGTTATTCCTAGCTGTTGTTATTTCTGTTATTCCTAGCTGTTGTTATTTCTGTTATTCCTAGCTGTTGTTATTTCTGTTATTCCTAGGAATCTTGCTATTTCTAGTCACTCAAGTAATCGTAGTTTGCATATCAATCTGTTTTTTTATATTTCATTGTGTCAGGGGACAGTAAGCCAAAGTATATTCATACACGTTAGGCTTATTTTGAGGCTTCCCCCCCCCACCCCCAATCTTGAGGTTATCTTGAGATGATTTCGGGGCTTTTAGTGTCCCTGCGGCCCGGTCATCGACCAGGCATCCACCAACAGGAACCAGCCCGTGACAGCTGACTAACACCCAGGTACCTATTTTACTGCTAGGTACAGGGGCATAGGGTGAAAGAAACTCTGCCCATTGTTTCTCGCCGGCGCCTGGGATCGAACCCAGGACCACAGGATCACAAGCCCAGCGTGCTGTCCGCTCGGCCGACCGGCTCCTCCTAAGGTCGAATTACTGACCCCGCCCAGGATGCAACCCCATAACAAGCTGATTAACTCCTGAGTACCTACTTACTGCTAGGTGAACAGGTGCATTAGGTGATAGGAAATGTGCCCAACCATTTCTGTCCCGCCCAGGATTCGAACCCGGAATTCTCGATTGTGAATCGGGAACGAATCCAACTGTACTGTCGGACCCTCGTATTAAGTAGGTATTAGGTATTAAGTTCAGTTTGAAAATGTGGAGAAATTAATAACATATTAAGAAGTCTATGCAAAACTTTCTTAATTATTAACAATAACATCAGGGAAAACAGAGCTTGTAATTTTTTATGAGAGAGAGAGAGAGAGAGAGTGTGTGTGTGTGTGTGTATGTGTGTGTGTGTGTGTGTGTGTGTGTGTGTGTGTGTGTGTGTGTGTGTGTGTGTGTATGTGTGTGTACTCACCTAGTTGTACTCACCTAGTTGTGTTTGCGGGGGTTGAGCTCTGGCTCTTTGGTCCCGCCTCTCAACCGTCAATCAACAGGTGTACAGATTCCTGAGCCTATCGGGCTCTGTCATATCTACACTTGAAACTGTGTATGGAGTGAGCCTCCACCACATCACCCCCTAATGCATTCCATTTATCAACCACTCTGACACTAAAAAAGTTCTTTCTAATATCTCTGTGGCTCATTTGGGCACTCAGTTTCCACCTGTGTCCCCTTGTGCGTGTTCCTCTTGTGTTAAATAGACTGTCTTTATCTACCCTATCAATCCCCTTCAGAATCTTGAATGTGGTGATCATGTCCCCCCTAACTCTTCTGTCTTCCAGCGAAGTGAGGTTTAATTCCCGTAGTCTCTCCTCGTAGCTCATACCTCTCAGCTCGGGTACTAGTCTGGTGGCAAACCTTTGAACCTTTTCCAGTTTAGTCTTATCCTTGACTAGATATGGACTCCATGCTGGGGCTGCATACTCCAGGATTGGCCTGACATATGTGGTATACAAAGTTCTGAATGATTCTTTACACAAGTTTCTGAATGCCGTTCGTATGTTGGCCAGCCTGGCATATGCCGCTGATGTTATCCGCTTGATATGTGCTGCAGGAGACAGGTCTGGCGTGATATCAACCCCCAAGTCTTTTTCCTTCTCTGACTCCTGAAGAATTTCCTCTCCCAGATGATACCTTGTATCTGGCCTCCTGCTCCCTACACCTATCTTCATTACATTACATTTGGTTGGGTTAAACTCTAACAACCATTTGTTCGACCATTCCTTCAGCTTGTCTAGGTCTTCTTGAAGCCTCAAACAGTCCTCTTCTGTTTTAATCCTTCTCATAATTTTAGCATCGTCCGCAAACATTGAGAGAAATGAATCGATACCCTCCGGGAGATCATTTACATATATCAGAAACAAGATAGGACCGAGTACAGAGCCCTGTGGGACTCCACTGGTGACTTCACGCCAATCGGAGGTCTCACCCCTCACCATAACTCTCTGCTTCCTATTGCTTAGATACTCCCTTATCCACTGGAGCACCTTACCAGCTACACCTGCCTGTCTCTCCAGCTTATGTACCAGCCTCTTATGCGGTACTGTGTCAAAGGCTTTCCGACAATCCAAGAAAATGCAGTCCGCCCAGCCCTCTCTTTCTTGCTTAATCTGTGTCACCTGATCGTAGAATTCTATCAAGCCTGTAAGGCAAGATTTACCCTCCCTGAATCCATGTTGGCGATTTGTCACGAAGTCCCTTCTCTCCAGATGTGTTACCAGGTTTTTTCTCACGATCTTCTCCATCACCTTGCATGGTATACAAGTCAAGGACACTGGCCTGTAGTTCAGTGCCTCTTGTCTGTCGCCCTTTTTGTATATTGGGACCACATTCGCCGTCTTCCATATTTCTGGTAGGTCTCCCGTCTCTAGTGATTTACTATACACTATGGAGAGTGGCAAGCAAAGTGCCTCTGCACACTCTTTCAGTACCCATGGTGAGATCCCATCTGGACCAACCGCCTTTCTAACATCCAGATCCAGCAGGTGTCTCTTGACCTCCTCTCTCGTAATTTCGAACTCCTCCAAGGCCGCCTGGTTTACCTCCCTTTCTCCTAGCACAGTGACCTCACCCTGTTCTATTGTGAAGACCTCCTGGAACCTCTTGTTGAGTTCCTCACACACCTCTCTGTCATTCTCTGTATACCTGTCCTCGCCTGTTCTGAGTTTCAATACCTGTTCTTTCACTGTTGTTTTCCTTCTGATGTGACTGTGGAGTAGCTTTGGTTCGGTCTTGGCTTTGTTTGCTATATCATTTTCAAAATTTTTCTCTGCTTCTCTTCTCACCCTGACGTACTCATTCCTGGTTCTCTGGTATCTCTCCCTACTTTCTGGTGTTCTGTTATTCCGGAAGTTCCTCCACGCCTTTTTGTTCAGTTTCTTCGCTTCCATACATGCCCTATTATACCATGGATTCTTTTGTTGCTTCTCGGATTTTTCCCTTTGGGCCGGGATGAACCTGTTTACTGCCTCCTGACACTTTTGGGTAACATAGTCCATCATACCCTGTACAGACTTGTCTCTGAGGTCTGTGTCCCAAGGTATTTCACTTAGGAAACTTCTCATCTGTTCATAATTCCCCTTTCGGTATGCCAGCCTTTTGATTCCTAGTTCTTTTTGGGGGGAGATAAGTCCTAGCTCTACCAGGTACTCAAAGTTCAATACACTGTGGTCACTCATTCCCAAGGGCGCTTCCATCTTAACTTCCCTTATATCCCATTCATTTAGGGTAAATATCAAATCAAGCATTGCTGGTTCATCTTCTCCTCTCATTCTTGTTGGCTCTTTGGTATGCTGGCTTAGAAAGTTTCTTGTTGCCACGTCCAGCAGCTTAGCTCTCCATGTTTCTGGTCCTCCATGCGGGTCTCTGTTCTTCCAATCTATCTTCCCATGGTTGAAGTCTCCCATAATTAGTAGTCCAGATCCATTCCTGCTAGCAACAGAAGCTGCTCTTTCTATTATGTTAATGGTGGCCATGTTGTTTCTATCATATTCCTGTCTAGGTCTTCTGTCATTTGGTGGTGGATTATATATGACTGCGACTATAATTTTTTTCCCTCCATTTGTTACAGTACCTGCTATGTAGTCACTGAAACCTTCACAGCCCTGAATATCCATCTCCTCAAAATCCCAGCCTTTTCTTACCAGCAGAGCTACACCACCCCCACCTCTTCCTTCCCTCTCTTTCCGCATAACATAATAGTCCTGTGGAAACACTGCATTTGTTATTGTTTTCGTGATCTTTGTTTCTGTGAGGGCTATTATGTCTGGGTTTTCCTCTAGTACCAGTTCTCCAAGCTCATTTGCTTTATTTGTAATTCCATCTATGTTAGTGTACATCGCTTTGAGGCTCACTTTCTTCTGTCCCTTCTCAAATCGCCTCCTTGGTGAGTGTTCTGCTGGTGGGGGAGGCTGTTCCATGGGTGTGTGTGTGTGTGTGTGTGTGTGTGTGTGTGTGTGTGTGTGTGTGTGTGTGTGTGTGTGTGTGTGTGTGTGTGTGTGTGTGTGTGTGTGCGCGCGCGCGCGTGTGCGCGCGTGTGTATGTATGTATGTATGTATGTATTCACCTAGTTGTTCTTGCGGGGGTTGATCCCTGCTCTTTCGGCCTGCCTCTCAACTGTCAATCAACTGTAACTAAATATTATTTTTTCCACACACATACACACCCAGGAAGCAGCTCCGTAACAGCTGTCTAACTCCCAGGTACCTACTTACTGCTAGGTAACAGGTGCATCAGGGGTGAAAGAAACTTTGCCCATTTGTTTCTGCCTGGTCCGGGAATCGAACCCGCGCTACAGAATTACGAGTCATGCGCGCTGTCCGCTCAGCTACCAGACCCATTCCACGTAAACCCTGCAATGTGATTGGTGAAGCTGCTGGTGAAGTTCAATACCTTGACACCCAGGAGAATTATGTGATACTCATGTGGTTAACTACACTCCCCTACAGGTGTCTTGGGTGCGGCACCGCGACATTCACCTGCTGACAGTGGGAAGGTTCACCTACACCTCGGACGAAAGGTTCTCGGCGCGTCACACCGCAGGATCTGAAGACTGGCTCCTGATGGTGCATTACCTGCAGGAGAGAGACGCTGGCCCGTACGAGTGCCAGATCTCTACCACCCCGCCCATGAGTCATCTCATCCACCTGGCTGTTGTAGGTGAGCACTAAAACACCACTTAGACACCTGTAAATAAACTGATCCACCTGGCTGTTAGTGGACATTATCAGCTACCTTCCAGCACACCCAGTTGCCACGTGAATGACCTGTATTGACAATGGCAAATTACCTAGTTGTCTCTGAACGAACTGATGCACTTTGCATCCTTTCAAGCCACGAGATGCTTGGATGCTGTCATCTCCTCTCTCAACACCGGTACACAGGCTCCGTAAGGCCTGCTCTACACGCAAGCACACTACCTGGAGGCTAGATTTGACAGAGAATTCGAACGTGAGGACAGTTCAATGACATCACAACATGTAGGCTAGAAGATGGGGGGGAATAAGGAGTTAGTTCTGACTGCGCGGTAGATACTGACGGATAAGCACAGCTAGGTCAGTACTCATAGGTAACTACTGGTCGGTAAGTGCTCAAATGTAATAATCACTATCATAGTTGTCAGGCACAATTAACCTTATATGATTGACAGGTATCGCTAACAATAGATGATTGACAGGTACAATTAACCATGGATGACTGACAGGTATCCTTAACCATGGATAACTGACATTTATCTTAATGAACGTAATCCTTCACTCACTAGTGCACTCCCCCCCCCATCAGGGCTACCTCCCCCCACCCTCATATTTCAACCATGTCCCAATATCCAATTTCCAATATGTCCAGGCTCCATCTCCAGTGTCCGGATGTTACATTATTTACATCTTTACTATTATATATATATATATATATATATATATATATATATATATATATATATATATATATATATATATATATATATATATATTTATATGCAACAATGATCACAAAAACACTGATCCAAGTATGCAGAATAACCACATATGAAAAATAGAAAATGCTTAACGCCAGAGCAAAGTAGAAACAATTCTACTTTAGAAACACAGATTCTACTTTGCCCTGATGAAGGCGAGCTTGAATCACCACCACAAGTACAATAGTTTACAATATAAATCCTTATCAGCTGACGGGTCTTATCAGGTGATAGTTCTCATCACCTGATAGTTCTCATCAGCTGATAGTCCTTATCAGGTGAGAATGGCCTCAAATGCTCCGCGTTCTTATCCAGCCAATAGCAGCTGGGTATATGGTTGATAAGATTGTTTGTGGCTGGCTGAGAATGACGAGTGTTACAGATAAGCGTGACATAGCACCTGTTAATGTGAGATTGTTACAATGGATTGTCACGGATTGTGGATAATATGAAACTAACCCACCAGCACTCACAAGCTGGATACTTCGGTGAGGTATACTGTGTATGCGTATGTTAACTACACCTTTTGGTAAATACTTTACATTTGTATTAATACTGATGGCTTGCCACACACACACACACACACACACACACACACACACACACACACACACACACACACACACACACACACACACACACACACACACACACACACACACACACACACACACACACACAGGCACCCCCCTAGCACCCCCCCACTCACCCCCACAGCCCCCACTTGCCCCCCAGACACCCCCCAGTTCCCCCCAGACCCCTGGTGAAAGGGGGAACTCTGACACCCGAGTTTCCAAGAAGAGTCTCAAGGTTTGGTACACCAATGCTGATGGGGTAGCCAATAAAGCAGAAGAGATAAAAGAAAGAGTTAGTGAGGCAGACCCAGACATAGTGGCAATAGTGGAAACTAAAATAAATGGCATGATCTCGGATGCAATCTTTCCAGAGGGGTACCAGGTGATAAGAAAAGAAAGGACACAGAGACAGGGAGGAGGAGTGGCACTACTAATAAAGCGGAAATGGAAGTTTGATGAGCTGGAAAATCCGGGTACCAATGAAAGCACAAGCTTCATACATGGAACTCTGACAGTGGATGGGAAGAAGATTGTAATCTTGATACTCTACAATCCCCCACCAAACAGTAGAAGGCCCAGGCAGGAGTACGAGGACAGCAACAAGACATGTATGGATGAACTGCAGAGGGCAGCAACTTCAGCGCATAGAATGAGAGCGAAGCTGCTGGTCATGGGGGACCTAAATCACGGAGAGATAAATTGGGAAACGAGGAATCCCCATGGCGGGGAGGAGACCTGGGGAGCGAAGCTGGTAGACGTTATTGACAGGAATTTCCTAACACAGCATGTGAAAGAAGATACTAGGGAAAGAGGAGGGGATACGCCCAGCCTATTAGATCTCATTATCACTCAGAATGTAGAAGACATCGAGCAGTTGGAACATGAAATACCACTAGGAGCTAGTGACCATTGTGTCCTAGTCTTTGACTACATGATGGAGCTTAAAATTGTGACCAAAGGACAAGAGGTCCGGGAAAGGAGACTTGATTACAGAAAAGGGGACTACAGAAGGATAAGGGACTACCTGGGAGAAGTGCAGTGGGAGGAAGAACTTAGAGGAAAAACAGTGCAAGGTATGATGAACCAAGTCATATTGAAATGCAAGGAGGCTGAAGATAGATTTATTCCAACAATAAAGGAAAAAAGCAGGAGGGAATATAATAACCCATGGTTTAATAGACAGTGTCAGGAAGCAAAGGTGAGAAGCAGGAGGGAGTGGAGGAAGTACAGAAGACAAAGGACAGAGGACAACAGGATTAGATGTAACAGAGCTAGGAATGATTACATTAACATAAGACGAGTGTCGGAAAGGAATTATGAGAACGATATTGCAGTCAAAGCGAAAAAGCAACCAAAATTACTACATAGCCATATAAGAAGGAAGATGTCGGTAAATGACCAAGTGACAAGACTGAGGAAAACAGAAGGGGCATATACAGAAAGCGACAAGGAAATCTGCGAGGTACTGAATGCAAAATTCCATGGAGTGTTCACAACCGAGCCTGAGCAGCTCCCATTGTTAGAAGAGATTACCCAAGATGAAAGACTATCGGATATAGAGGTGACAGCAGAGGATGTAATGAAACAGTTGACAACACTGGATGCAAATAAAGCTGTTGGACCAGACAAAGTATCACCGTGGATACTCAAAGAGGCAGCGCAGGCTCTCAGCGTGCCTCTGGCAATGATCTTTAATGAGTCACTTATGTCGGGAGAATTGCCCAGTTGCTGGAAGGAGGCAAATGTCGTACCGATTTTCAAAAAGGGTGATAGGGAGGAGGCACTTAACTACAGACCCGTATCACTGACAAGCATCCCCTGCAAAATACTTGAAAGAATAATTAGGCTAAGACTTGTTGAGCACCTGGAGAGCATTGGGTTTGTAAACAAGCACCAACATGGGTTCTGGACAGGGAAATCATGCCTAACAAACCTTTTAGAATTCTATGATAAAGTAACAAGGATAAGGCAGGACAGAGAAGGCTGGGCAGACTGCATATTTCTTGACTGCCAAAAGGCCTTTGATACGGTACCGCACATGAGACTGCTATACAAACTTGAGAGGCAGGCAGGAGTATGCGGAAAGGCCCTAGTATGGGTGAAGAACTACCTAACAGGAAGGAGCCAGAGGGTAATGGTAAGGGGCGAAAAGTCGGACTGGCGAACAGTAACAAGTGGAGTACCTCAAGGATCGGTGCTGGGACCAATCCTCTTTCTAATTTACGTAAATGATATGTTTACAGGAGTGGAATCATACATGTCAATGTTTGCAGATGACGCAAAATTAATGAGAAGAGTTGTGACAGACGAGGATTGTAGGATCCTCCAAGAGGACTTAAACAGGCTGCAGAGATGGTCAGGGAAATGGCTACTGGAGTTTAACACCAGTAAATGTAAAGTTATGGAAATGGGATCAGGTGACAGGAGACCAAAGGGACAGTACACAATGAAGGGGAACAGCCTACCTGTAACGATTCGAGAAAGAGACCTGGGAGTGGATGTGACACCTAATCTAACTCCTGAGGCACATATAAATAGGATAACGACAGCAGCGTACTCTACACTGGCGAAAATTAGAACTTCATTCAGAAACCTAAATGAGGAAGCTTTTAGGGCGCTTTACACTGCCTACGTGAGACCCGTCTTAGAGTATGCCGCGCCATCATGGAGCCCCCACCTGAAGAAACACATAAAGAAACTGGAGAAGGTTCAGAGGTTTGCGACGAGGCTTGTCCCAGAGCTACGAGGGATGGGATATGAAGAGCGGCTGAAGGAACTGAACCTTACGACACTAGAGAAAAGAAGGGAGAGAGGAGATATGATAGGGACATATAAAATACTCAGGGGAATTGACAAAGTGGAAATAGATGAAATGTTCACACGTAATAATAACAGAACGAGGGGACATGGGTGGAAACTGGAAACTCAGATGAGTCACAGAGATGTTAGGAAGTTTTCTTTTAGCGTGAGAGTAGTAGAAAAATGGAATGCACTTGGGGAACAGGTTGTGGAAGCAAATACTATTCATACTTTTAAAACTAGGTATGATAGGGAAATGGGACAGGAGTCATTGCTGTAAACAACCGATAGCTAGAAAGGCGGGATCCAAGAGTCAATGCTCGATCCTGCAAGCACATATAGGTGAGTACATATAGGTGAGTACACACACACACACACACACACACACACACACACACACACACACACACACACACACACACACACACACACACACACACACACACACACACACAGAGTCTAGGTTTGATCACATGGTCTGTTGCTGTTTGCGTTACTTTATAATTATTTGTTATTTTTTCTTTCAATGCTCGAAGCTATGTTTCTAGTATATCATTTGTTCGTAAGCTTAGGTGCGTTGGTTGTTGTGCCTGATGATATGAGTGTGAGTGTACATCATTTTTATTAATATATACACAGACATTTAAGTTTTTCTAGAACAAAACAACACATAACAGATGAAAATATTTTGGGTATAAAACTGCATCAAATAACGACACCAAGAGATGCACCATTCATCAACCCATCTGATGGAGACACGGCAATACTCTCCCAGGCAAGATCATTGTTGCCAGAGCCCCCCCCCCCCCCTGCTGCTGCTGCTGGGGGGGGGCTGCTGCTGCTGCTGCTGCTGCTGCTAGGGGGGGGGGCATGCAATATCAATACACCCACCTGCAAGGACGAGCTTGCAACACTGGTCAACACTTTTATTACGATGCTGTTACTTTGCCTTGCGACACAGAGAAGTGATTCCTACATCAAAAATACCGTAGCATTTTGTATTTAACTTGAGTAACCAAATTTAATATAACAGTTGAGTTTATTGATCAAATTTAATTGTAAATACATTTTTATGAGTAAATATTTATTCAATGGCAATTTTTTTGTTGATGGTGTGAATTGCTTTTGGGGTTAAAAGGTATCTGGCAGGATTGAGTACAGGGCAAAGCGCTTACACATTTTTCTTCACTGTTACGCTGTGATTGATTTCCTTCAAAAGGTCACGTATATGTGACGTTTCTGCATTCCACACACACACACACACAAATGGCTGTTAGAGTTTAATCCAAGCAAATGTAATGTAATGAAGATAGGGGTAGAAAGCAGGAGACCAGATACAAGGTATCACTTGGGAGATGAAATACTTCAAGAGTCCGAGAGAAAGACCTGGGGATTGATATCACGCCAGACCTGTCCCCTGATGCTCATATCAAGAGGATAACAGCAGCAGCATATGCCAGGTTGGCTAACATAAGAACGGCCTTTAGAAACTTGTGTAAGGAATCTTTCAGAACATTATATACCACATATGTCAGACCAATCCTGGAGTATGCGGCACCAGCATGGAGTCCATATCTAGTCAAGCATAAGAATAAAATGGAAAAGGTTCAAAGGTTTGCCAACAGACTAGTACCCGAGCTGAGAGGTATGAGCTACGAGGAGAGACTACGAGAATTAAACCTCACTTCGTTGGAAGACAGAAGAGTTAGGGGGGACATGATCACCACATTCAAGATCCTCAAGGGAATTGACAGGGTTGATAAAGACAGGCTGTTTAACAAAAGGGCCACACGCACTAGGGGACACAGGTGGAAACTGAGTGCCCAAATGAGCCACAGAGATATTAGAAAGAACTTTTTTAGTGTCAGAGTGGTTGACAAATGGAATGCATTAGGAAGTGATGTGGTGGAGGCTGACTCCATACACAGTTTCAAGTGTAGATATGATAGAGCCCAGTAGGCTCAGGAACCTGTACACCTGTTGATTGACAGCTGAGAGGCGGGACCAAAGAGCCAGAGCTCAACCCCCGCAAGCACAACTAGGTGAGTACAACTAGGTGAGTACATGGTGGCTGAGTGGACGACACTCAGGACTCGTAATCCTGGGGACCGGGGTTCGATCCCTGGCGATGGCGGAAAACAAACGGGCAAGAGTTTCTTTCACCCTGATGCCCCTGTTACCTAGCAGTAAATAGGTACCTGTGGGAGACAGCTGTTACGGGCTGCTTCCTCTGTGTGTGTGTGTGTGTGTGTGTGTATGTATGTGTGTGTGGGTGTGTGTTCACGACTGTGAGATGCAGCATCCACATCAGAGGTCCCTCTCCACCTGTCTATCTCATCTCATCATAAATAAAATTTCCTCCTCCTCCTCCTGTCTTTCTTTCGTACACCTTTTCTTCTCTCTTATCCTTCCTCCATCTCTTACTTATGTCATCCCAGTTGCATCTCACTGCCAATACCCCAGATTCATCACATCATCACACTCATCCTATATCTACACTCATCAGTTATTATCTTATATTCCTTCTTCTCCCTCACGTCATCATTTTTCTTCTTATTGTCCAATCTCCCTTTTCCTATTTCTGTATCAAAATGCTATTTTTTTTACTGTACATCTTCCTCTTCTCCCATGATATCTCAGATGATATCTTCCACTTATATCCCCCCCCCCCAGCATCATCTGTGTTCTTCATGTTAGTGATGTTGTTCCTCCTCAGAGCCGGAGACGATGATAGTGGGAGGACCGGATGTGTACATCAACACAGGCAGCCGGCTGTCTCTCACTTGTACTGTCAAGTACAGTCCCGAGCCCCCAGCCTTCATCTTCTGGTACCACGATGACAAGGTGAGGCTCACTCTCTTCTCTGTGTCTCTCTCTATGTCTCTCTCTCTCTCTCTCTCTCTCTCTCTCTCTCTCTCTCTCTCTCTCTCTCTCTCTCTATCTCTATCTCTATCTCTCTCTCTCTCTCTCTCTCTCTCTCTCTCTCTCTCTCTCTCTCTCTCTCTCTCTCTCTCTCTCTCTCTCTCTCTCTCTCTCTCTCTCTCTCTCTCTCTCTCTCTCTCTCTCTCTCTCTCTCTCTCTCTCTCTCTCTCTCTCTCTCTCTCTCTCTCTCTCTCTCTCTCTCTCTCTCTCTCTCTCTCTCTCTCTCTCTCTCTCTCTCTCTCTCTCTCTCTCTCTCTCTCTCTCTCTCTCTCTCTCTCTCTCTCTCTCTCTCTCTCTCTCTCTCTCTCTCTCTCTCTCGTATACAACACATAAATTAATTGCACCAGCTGCGTTCTATCGAGACGTGAGGGAATGTTTACATAAATGGGATAACATGTCCATTCATACACACTCACACACACAATACATACACCAGCAAATAATCACCATCACAGACACACACACACGCATACACATACACACACGAAAACACACACACACACACACACACACACACACACACACACACACACACACACACACACACACACACACACACACACACACACACACACACACACACACACACGAATTCTCAGGGGAATTGACAGGGTGGACAAAGACAAACTCTTCAGCACGGGTGGGACACGAACAAGGGGACACAGGTGGAAACCTAGTACCCAGATGAGCCACAGAGACGTTAGAAAGATTTTTTTCAGTGTCAGAGTAGTTAGTAAATGGAATGCACTAGGAAGTGATGTGGTGGAGGCTGATTCCATACACAGTTTCAAATGTAGATATGATAGAACCCAATAGGCTCAGGAATCTGTACACCAATTGATTGACAGTTGAGAGGCGGGACCAAAGAGCCAAAGCTCAACCCTCGCAAGCACAATTAGGTGAGTACGAATGCTACCTCCCAACCACCAAGACATGGCTACTCACAATAAGGAAAGGGTCTCTTTGATTAGGTAAATATGACATTGAAGTGCAGACGAGGAGTCACAATAACGTGGCAGTAGTATGTTGACCAGACCACACACTAGGAAGTGAAGGGACGACGACGTTTCGGTCCGTCTTGGACCATTCTCAAGTCCACCGAAACGTCGTCGTCCTTTCACTTTCTAGTGTGTGGTTTGGTCAACATGACATTGAAAGTATCCCCCCCCTGGTGCCCCACAGTGGAGCCTAGTGTTCTCATACCCTCCCCCCCCCCCCCCAGCAACCACTGTAGAGTTCCAGGGAAGGGGGGAGGGATAATAGAGCCCCAGATCAAGCAGTAGTTACCTGCTTGTTAGGGCCATCCATATTGTTAGCCTACTCTGCCATTTATATATGTGTATAATGGGTATAACCTGCTTATGGGGAAGTCCAGAAATGCTACTTCAATTTCACCCATCTTATTAGGCCTTACCACAAACGTATATACCCAAGCATCCCCCACCTAACCTATCAAGTCCGATGCATAGAAAACGCGAATGTTTGTGAGGTGACACTATTCGTAACCGGTGGCATTCGTAACTCTGGCTACGAGAAGGTAGGAAACTGCGCGTCTGTCAGTTGAGAGTACGAGCTGTTGACAAGAGTGCTGAATGTTTTCATGAGGTGAAGGGGGACCCCGTCTCTCCCGCAGCTGGTGAGCTACGAGCGGCGGCCAGGGGGCGTGGTGGTGTCGACGGAGAAGGGCGTGGTCACCACCTCCAGGTTGCTGGTGCAGTTCGCGGAGCCCCGCCACACTGGCCGCTACACCTGCGCCCCGGCCAACTCCAGGCCCAAGAGCGTCAATGTCCACGTTATTGCTGGTATGTTTTGCTGTGTCCTGCTGCTTAAACAGGCTTCTCAGACGGGTGTAAGTAGCACTTACTGGTGGAGCACTTACGTGTCCAGGTTGGGTACAGTACTTACGTGTCCAGGTAGGGTACAGTACTTACGTGTCCAGGTAGGGTACAGTACTTACGTGTCCAGGTTGGGTACAGTACTTACGTGTCCAGGTAGGGTACAGCACTTACGTGTCCAGGTAGGGTACAGTACTTACGTGTCCAGGTAGGGTACAGCACTTACGTGTCCAGGTAGGGTACAGTACTTACGCGTCCAGGTTGGGTACAGCACTTACGTGTCCAGGTAGGGTACAGTACTTACGTGTCCAGGTAGGGTACAGTACTTACGTGTCCAGGTAGAGTACAGTACTTACGTGTCCAGGTAGGGTACAGTACTTACGTGTCCAGGTTGGGTACAGTACTTACGTGTCCAGGTTGGGTACAGCACTTACGTGTCCAGGTAGGGTACAGCACTTACGTGTCCAGGTAGAGTATACCACTTACGTGTCCAGGTAGAGTATACCACTTACGTGTCCAGGTAGAGTATACCACTTACGTGTCCAGGTAGAGTATACCACTTACGTGTCCAGGTAGAGTATACCACTTACGTGTCCAGGTAGAGTATACCACTTACGTGTCCAGGTAGAGTATACCACTTACGTGTCCAGGTAGGGTACAGTACTTACGTGTCCAGGTAGGGTACAGTACTTACGTGTCCAGGTTGGGTACAGTACTTACGTGTCCAGGTAGGGTACAGCACTTACGTGTCCAGGTAGGGTACAGTACTTACGTGTCCAGGTAGGGTACAGCACTTACGTGTCCAGGTAGGGTACAGTACTTACGTGTCCAGGTTGGGTACAGCACTTACGTGTCCAGGTAGGGTACAGTACTTACGTGTCCAGGTAGGGTACAGTACTTACGTGTCCAGGTAGAGTACAGTACTTACGTGTCCAGGTAGGGTACAGTACTTACGTGTCCAGGTTGGGTACAGTACTTACGTGTCCAGGTTGGGTACAGCACTTACGTGTCCAGGTAGGGTACAGCACTTACGTGTCCAGGTAGAGTATACCACTTACGTGTCCAGGTAGAGTATACCACTTACGTGTCCAGGTAGAGTATACCACTTACGTGTCCAGGTAGAGTATACCACTTACGTGTCCAGGTAGAGTATACCACTTACGTGTCCAGGTAGAGTATACCACTTACGTGTCCAGGTAGGGTACAGTACTTACGTGTCCAGGTAGAGTATACCACTTACGTGTCCAGGTAGAGTATACCACTTACGTGTCCAGGTAGGGTACAGTACTTACGTGTCCAGGTAGAGTATACCACTTACGTGTCCAGGTAGGGTACAGCACTTACGTGTCCAGGTAGAGTATACCACTTACGTGTCCAGGTAGAGTATACCACTTACGTGTCCAGGTAGAGTATACCACTTACGTGTCCAGGTAGAGTATACCACTTACGTGTCCAGGTAGAGTATACCACTTACGTGTCCAGGTAGGGTACAGTACTTACGTGTCCAGGTAGAGTATACCACTTACGTGTCCAGGTAGAGTATACCACTTACGTGTCCAGGTAGGGTACAGTACTTACGTGTCCAGGTAGAGTATACCACTTACGTGTCCAGGTAGGGTACAGTACTTACGTGTCCAGGTAGAGTATACCACTTACGTGTCCAGGTAGAGTATACCACTTACGTGTCCAGGTAGAGTATACCACTTACGTGTCCAGGTAGAGTATACCACTTACGTGTCCAGGTAGAGTATACCACTTACGTGTCCAGGTAGAGTATACCACTTACGTGTCCAGGTAGAGTATACCACTTACGTGTCCAGGTAGAGTATACCACTTACGTGTCCAGGTAGAGTATACCACTTACGTGTCCAGGTAGAGTATACCACTTACGTGTCCAGGTAGAGTATACCACTTACGTGTCCAGGTAGAGTATACCACTTACGTGTCCAGGCGGCCCCCCGCCCCATCCCCGCCTGGATACGGAAGCGCTGTACCCTACCAGGGGGTGAAGTAGGGATTGTGGGGGAGGAAGTCAACCAAAACACAGATAACATAATATCACTGCATGATATAGTCCAGATTTTGGCAACTCAAACGTGTTACAATACGATATAGGATACATTTAGTCTGGTATATTTATGAACCTATCTTCAGGCTATGATCATCTAGACAGCGGCCATCCCAAACCAATCCTTTGGTTATATTCCTCAGAACCCCGGCCATCCCCAACTTCTCCTCGGGCTGTGATCCTGTGTGTCGTTGCTCTACAAGCACTGAACAATTGTATCACACTGTGTAATGATAAACAGTATTTTCACTTGCAACAAGAACACATATGTGATAACATACATCTGATCACAAATGTCATATCATTCATGCAAACACTCAAACGACAGGGCCGACGGGTACTTATCAACTGGGTGCCAAGTCATGTGGGAATAATAGGAAATGACATTGCAGACGAAGCTGTAAAACTTGCTACTAAGAGAAGAAATGTAGACATTTACATACCACAGAGTCTATCACAGATTAAGAAAGTAATTAGAAACAGAGGAATGCAAAAGATGTACAGTGACCACAACACAGCAGTTGCAACATCAGGATCTGCGGGTTGGTACAAGAATTCAACCAACTACGAACCACTTAGTTTGATGAAAGGGAGCAGTAGAACAACAGAAGTACACTTACATCGCATCAGGCTTGGATACCAATGTGCATGGGAAATAGGCTTACAGGTTCCGGAAGATGAGAGGAAATGTCAGCGCTGTGGAGAAATGCCAGACAGACCACTGGAACATTATCTAACACAGTACACAGTTACAGCCACAACAGACCACTGGAACATTATCTAACACAGTGCACAGTTACAAACCCATTAAGATTTCAACTTAGATTCAACAGAGCAGAAGTTGTTAAACACATATGGCAAAACCTTACTGAAGCGACCATACGAGTCATAAATACTCATACTCCGCCCAAGTAAAACAGAAACAAGCAACACTTAGTGGGCCAGCCAGAGGCTTAGGGCCCGCGCTGGAATATCCCTGCAAAAAAAAAAAGTATTTTCACTAATAAGAATTTATATTTTTTGCAGTGATGACTGCAGTTAGGCCTAGGTGTTCTGGTTCAGTTGTGAATTATTTTTAGTTACATGTACGTGGTCCTCAAGGCCTCGGGTTAGGGGCCAGATTCACGAAGCAGTTACACAAGTACTTACGAACGTGTACATCTTTCTTCAATCTTTGACGGCTTTGGTTACATTTATAAAACAGTTTACAAGTTTGAAACTTTCCAATCAACTGTTGTTATTGTTATAAACAGACTCCTGGTGTTTCCGAGCTCATTAACTGTTTAATAATTGTAAACTAAGCTGCCAAATTTTGAGAAAAGATGTACATGTTTGGAAGTGCTTGCGTAACTGCTTCGTGATTCTAGCTCCAGGCTCGTCCAAGCTACAGCCAACCCCAAAGACATATTTATTAATTGTTAACATATTGTGTGTTAAAAATCCGTATTTTCTGAAATTCAAGTTAACATTATTACGTATCAGAATATGGTGAATATTTTGGTCTAAATTGGGTTGCATTAGGTGTTTAGGTTCTGTTGGTAACTATATTTTTATTTTAACCCGTCCTCGACTCAAGTCCATTACATCCAGCGGTCGACCCCACAGACGCATTCATAAATGTTAACATGCTGTTCATTCAAAACTGGATTTTTTTTCAAATATAAATTAATATTATAATATATTAGCATATTGTGCATATATAAGCATAGGTTAGGTTAGGTGTTTAGGTTCTGTTGGTGATTATTTGTATTTGTAGTACGTGGGTGAAGCATTTACAGCGTTGTGGTTCGAACAAAAAACGTCAGTGAAGCACTTGTTCCGGAAGTGTTCGAACGTCAACAGTTGTGAGTCGTGTGTAAACTGTTTTTCATTCATAAACAGCTGGTGTTTGGCGGGTGCATAGAATCACTTTTGGGTCTTTGGAGAATGGGCTGCGTCCTCATAAGCAAAGACCCAAAGTCCATTCCATGCACCCGCCAACCCCCAACTGTTTATGAATGAAAAACAGTTTACACACGACTCACAACTGTTGACGTTCGAACACTTCCGGAACAAGTGCTTCAGTGACGACTTTTGTTCGAACAACAACGCTGTAAATGCTTCACCCACGTAATACAAATACAATCACCAACAGAACCTAAACATCTAACCTAACCTATAACTAACCATACATACCACTTTAATATATACCAATATGAACTTATATATGAGAAGAAACCTTTTTTAATACACATAATGTTAAAACTAATGATCCCGTCTCAGGAGACGACCGCTACTTCCGAGCCTGGTCTGAGTTGCGTGCGTTCTATCCATAAACAAGAGGTTTGATGGCTAGATTAACGAATATTTGACCATTTCTTATAAAGAGGAATGAAGATGTACTAAGGTACAAGTCAAGTCCCGGAGGAGAGCGAAGCATTGCTCGGAAAAGAATTCGAAAGTGTTAAGATGTGCAAAGTGTTTTTCATTAATAAACAAGGTAAGGGGGGGGGGGTGGCTAGCTGGATTAATAAGCATTTGAGCCATTGTTTATGAGGACGGGTTGTGTGTGCATTTTATGTTAAGATTCACTGGAGACCCAATAGTGGTGTTAAGAGCAGGACCCGACTAACAACCCAGCCCCCCACTACATAACGACTCCTGCGGGCGAGAGGTGCACCTCTGTACCGCATGGAGCCTCCTCACAGTCCTCCCTTCAGCCCCATTCTCAGGCTGTGTTTATGAGGACGGGCTGCAGCCTCATAAACATTTAGTAAATATTGGCAATCCCAGCGCCCTCCTCCCCCTTCCACTTGATTAATGAAAACCACTTTACTGGCGACTCCCAACTGATTACGCTCGAAGTTTTCTCGATCAGTGCTTCGCGCGGTTAATGGGATCGGCTTCCAGCTCTCTGAGTGGTTCCCACGTGGCTTGTAAATACAGCTAAGCTCGTCCTTATATACAGTGGCCAAATACTGGGTAAACCAGCCGACACAGTCCCTGTATATAAGGAAAAAGTTAATTTCACATAACAACTCCCGCCCGATCATCTCCGAAATTTTCTCGAATATTTCTTGGCTTACTTTCCCTTGTTCGGATCCTACTTTGGTAAACGCTTCAACTACGCACTCCAAATATAAAATATTAACAGTCGAACGCCCAACCTAACCTAACCTACTCCCACTTATACATATAATTTTAAGAAAACAAATGTTGAATACATAGTATGTTACATTGATGAATGCATCTCTGGGCAGCCGCCTGCGGCCAGATTCACGAAGCAGTTTCCCAAGCACTTACGAACGTGTACACCTTTCCTCAATCTTTTACGGCTTTGGTTACATTTATTAAACAGTTTACAAGCATGAAAACTTGCCAATCAACTGTTGTTATTGTTATAAACAGCCTCCTGGTGCTTCGGAGCTCATTAATCAAGTGCTTGCGTAACTACTTCGTGAATCTGCCCCCCCCCCCCCCCCCCTGGACGTGCCTGGTGTTAGGTCGGGCCGATACAGCTACCTCTCATCACAAGTCAAACCTCGAGCCTGCCTGCCCTAACTAGGCACCAAGCTGTAATATACACTAATATCAGCAGCTGTTTGAGAAAACACCTTCTTCCCTTATACAGGAGCTCCCCCCCCCCCCAGCCTCACTAAGAGTTTTCTTCAGTGAACGTAAACTTGCTGGTTGGTCAGAGAGGTATTGTGGTGGGGTTAATAACCCTTCAGGGGTTGATAGCCTTAAACCCTATACGAATCTTAAGTTTCGGCTATATATATATATATATATATATATATATATATATATATTATTAAATATGACCGAAAAAGTAAGATTAATAATTCTAACACGAATTTTCTCAATCTTTCGTACATTACGCTTCACTGTTGGAGGTAAATCAAAAATCACTTCTCCAAAATTCATTTTTATTTCTTAGTCTGACGCGACACGGGCGCGTTTCGTAAAACTTATTACATTTTCAAAGACTTCACAAATACACAACTGATTAGAACTAGCGTTTCCCTGATTTTATATCTACATTTGAATGAGGTGGGAAGGGTGATGTGGCATTACATTTGAGTGAGGTGGGAAGGGTGATGTGGCATTAACACAAGACAGAACACTAGAGGATATTAATAGGGTATTAAAAGTATCAACACAAGACAGAACACGAAACAATGGGTATTGAATAGAAGTGTTTGTAGAAAGCCTATTGGTCCATATTTCTTGATGCTTCTATATTGGAGCGGAGTCTTGAGGTGGGTAGAATATAGTTGTGCAATAATTGGCTGTTGATTGCTGGTGTTGACTTCTTGATGTGCAGTGCCTCGCAAACGTCAAGCCGCCTGCTATCGCTGTATCTATCGATGATTTCTGTGTTGTTTACTAGGATTTCTCTGGCGATGGTTTGGTTATGGGAAGAGATTATATGTTCCTTAATGGAGCCCTGTTGTTTATGCATCGTTAAACGCCTAGAAAGAGATGTTGTTGTCTTGCCTATATACTGGGTTTTTTGGAGCTTACAGTCCCCAAGTGGGCATTTGAAGGCATAGACGACGTTAGTCTCTTTTAAAGCGTTCTGTTTTGTGTCTGGAGAGTTTCTCATGAGTAGGCTGGCCGTTTTCCTGGTTTTATAGTAAATCGTCAGTTGTATCCTCTGATTTTTGTCTGTAGGGATAACGTTTCTATTAACAATATCTTTCAGGACCCTTTCCTCTGTTTTATGAGCTGTGGAAAAGAAGTTCCTGTAAAATAGTCTAATAGGGGGTATAGGTGTTGTGTTAGTTGTCTCTTCGGAGGTTGCATGGCTTTTCACTTTCCTTCTTATGATGTCTTCGATGAAACCATTGGAGAAGCCGTTATTGACTAGGACCTGCCTTACCCTACAGAGTTCTTCGTCGACTTGCTTCCATTCCGAGCTGTGGCTGAGAGCACGGTCGACGTATGCGTTAACAACACTCCTCTTGTACCTGTCAGGGCAGTCGCTGTTGGCATTTAGGCACATTCCTATGTTTGTTTCCTTTGTGTAGACTGCAGTGTGGAAACCTCCGCCCTTTTCCATGACTGTTACATCTAGAAAAGGCAGCTTCCCATCCTTTTCCGTCTCGTAAGTGAAACGCAGCACGGAACTCTGCTCAAATGCCTCCTTCAGCTCCTGCAGATGCCTGACATCAGGTACCTGTGTAAAAATGTCGTCAACATACCTGCAGTATATGGCCGGTTTACCAACGTACCTGTGGACGAGACAATCGGAATGATAGCCGACAGAGTGTATCGTGATCCAGCCTGTACTCCTCTTGACATGCCAGAAAGTATTCTGAGGAAACTACTCCAAGCTTGTACTAAAGAGGCACCCTTCTTGAGCCCGGATGGGCACATGTATAAGCAAGTAGATGGGGTCGCCATGGGTTCTCCCCTAGGTGTCCTGTTTGCAAACTTCTACATGGGTACCATCGAGCAAAAAGTCTTAGTCGACATGAACTTGAAACCGGCCATATACTGCAGGTATGTTGACGACATTTTTACACAGGTACCTGATGTCAGGCATCTGCAGGAGCTGAAGGAGGCATTTGAGCAGAGTTCCGTGCTGCGTTTCACTTACGAGACGGAAAAGGATGGGAAGCTGCCTTTTCTAGATGTAACAGTCATGGAAAAAGGCGGAGGTTTCCACACTGCAGTCTACACAAAGGAAACAAACATAGGAATGTGCCTAAATGCCAACAGCGACTGCCCTGACAGGTACAAGAGGAGTGTTGTTAACGCATACGTCGACCGTGCTCTCAGCCACAGCTCGGAATGGAAGCAAGTCGACGAAGAACTCTGTAGGGTAAGGCAGGTCCTAGTCAATAACGGCTTCTCCAATGGTTTCATCGAAGACATCATAAGAAGGAAAGTGAAAAGCCATGCAACCTCCGAAGAGACAACTAACACAACACCTATACCCCCTATTAGACTATTTTACAGGAACTTCTTTTCCACAGCTCATAAAACAGAGGAAAGGGTCCTGAAAGATATTGTTAATAGAAACGTTATCCCTACAGACAAAAATCAGAGGATACAACTGACGATTTACTATAAAACCAGGAAAACGGCCAGCCTACTCATGAGAAACTCTCCAGACACAAAACAGAACGCTTTAAAAGAGACTAACGTCGTCTATGCCTTCAAATGCCCACTTGGGGACTGTAAGCTCCAAAAAACCCAGTATATAGGCAAGACAACAACATCTCTTTCTAGGCGTTTAACGATGCATAAACAACAGGGCTCCATTAAGGAACATATAATCTCTTCCCATAACCAAACCATCGCCAGAGAAATCCTAGTAAACAACACAGAAATCATCGATAGATACAGCGATAGCAGGCGGCTTGACGTTTGCGAGGCACTGCACATCAAGAAGTCAACACCAGCAATCAACAGCCAATTATTGCACAACTATATTCTACCCACCTCAAGACTCCGCTCCAATATAGAAGCATCAAGAAATATGGACCAATAGGCTTTCTACAAACACTTCTATTCAATACCCATTGTTTCGTGTTCTGTCTTGTGTTGATACTTTTAATACCCTATTAATATCCTCTAGTGTTCTGTCTTGTGTTAATGCCACATCACCCTTCCCACCTCACTCAAATGTAATGCCACATCACCCTTCCCACCTCACTCAAATGTAGATATAAAATCAGGGAAACGCTAGTTCTAATCAGTTGTGTATTTGTGAAGTCTTTGAAAATGTAATAAGTTTTACGAAACGCGCCCGTGTCGCGTCAGACTAAGAAATAAAAATGAATTTTGGAGAAGTGATTTTTGATTTACCTCCAACAGTGAAGCGTAATGTACGAAAGATTGAGAAAATTCGTGTTAGAATTATTAATCTTACTTTTTCGGTCATATTTAATAATATATGTCTACAGGAAAGACTGCTACCAAAATATACTAATATATATATATATATATATATATATATATATATATATATATATATATATATATATATATATATATATATATATATATTAATGTTTAGTTTAAGAATTTTAATTACATTTAACTTTTAATTTACTATATTAAAGTCGATTTCATTATTAGTTTAGTAATTTTGAGTAGAATCAACTTCTAATTTTATAATTTTAACTCAAATTAAGTTTTAGTTAACTAATTGTAATTTAAATATAACATATATTTTCCTTCTCATCCGCCAGGAGACCAGCCAGCAGCCATAGTGCATGACAACAACAGCAGAGCTGCGGCCCGGCTCAGACAACACGCTGCTCTTCTGCCCTTCCTCATGCTGCTGCTGCTCCTCCTCCCTCACTGCCTCACTGGCGAGGGGTGAGAGTTTCCTCACTACTCTCCCTGGACGCGCGCACACACACACTCACACACCTTCCTTCACACCTATCGACATGTAAACAATACCACGTGCGACATGCACCCGTAGTGTATGTACATGTGCGCATGCGCTGGGAACGTAGTAAATATGTAGATATGACCAAACTGGTGCGAATCACACGAACGTTATTTCCAAAGCGTTGGGATTTTTCGTTGTGTAGTGTATGACGTCACCTGTAGTGAAGAAAATAACAACGTCGTAATATCACCTGCAAAAAAAAAAGTGAGCATCTACGTGTGACGTCACATTGGAAAACAGTTGAATGCCGGAAAGTGAAATTATCTGCTAAAGAGAAGTGAGCGTCATGATGTGACGTCACGTGTGATAAACAAGTGAGCGTCATGATGTGACGTCACGTGTGATAAACAAGTGAGCGTCATGATGTGACGTCACGTGTGATAAACAAGTGAGCGTCATGATGTGACGTCACGTGTGATAAACAAGTGAGCGTCATGATGTGACGTCACGTGTGATAAACAAGTGAGCATTCCAGTTTTATGTCACATGCAAAAACAAGTACATATCTCTTTATGACGTCATTGGCAAAGACAAACAAGAACATCTTGGGTGTGAGTGTGTATGTGATGTCACGTCAAGATGCAAGACAAATCAGCTGAGGCTGTGACGTCAACCCAAGAAGTAAATAGAGATTCCTTGAGTGACATCAACAGATCTTGGCGAAACATCAGATGCTCTTCATCTTGACATAAGTGTTTCTGAGAAGGTTTGTAATTATCGCGTTGACACACGCTTCATCGGACCAAGCCACTTACGAAACATCTACATCATTCCTTACTCACTAGCGGCTTTGTTTACAGTTATCAAACAGTTTACGAGCTTGGAAACTTCACAATACAAGGTTATTATTGTTATAAACAACCTCCTGGTACTTTGGAACTCGTAACCTATTTAATTAATGTAAACAAAGTTGCCCTGATTGGGGAAAGATGTACAGGTTTCGTAACTGGTTGATGCATGCTGGGCGTGTCTGGTAACTCCATTCAAGAAAACCTGGAGTTAGAAAATGTATGAGAAACTTTGAAATGTGCTTTTCACAACTCTCATTAATTCTTTCCTTTTGCAAAATTAAAATAAAATAATTTGTTTAAATAAATCCAAATTCAATGAATTGTAGTCTGTATTATCATTAGATTCTGAGTGCAGTTTGAAGACAGGTAATCAATTCATTTGTCTCATTCAGATTTTGCAAAAAAGAAATCTTCCTTCAGAATCTCATCTTATTTCCGAATTTCATGTTTCTATGGAAATTAATTTTCTTTTAAAGTTTCATCTTCAATTACAATTTCATCATCAGGATTAACACCAAATGTTAAAGATAGATTCTTGTAAGTATTTCCTGTCGGAAAGTTGACATCTTGAGAGTTCCTAAGTTGATATCATCATCATTTTTGTTAGTTTATGCTTTCACTGTATATATATATATATATATATATATATATATATATATATATATATATATATATATATATATATATATATATATATATATTCTATTTGTTATCATTCAAACATTTTGGATATAAGTTTCTATTATCGGTGTTTTTTATTATTTACGTAACACAAAACTTGGCTGAAAATATCAGTATCAACGAAGGTTAAAAGATTTATATAAATCAGTATCAACTAAATGGTTAATAAAAATCTACATTATAATTGTGCTGAATATTTTAAGACGATACAACCCTTAACAACCTATTAGAGATGAGGAATTAGTGGGTCAACAATCCTGAGTCGACGACCACTCCGAGCTGTTCAGCTCCGGGTCTCATTCTGGCAGTATGAATCGATTCTAAAATGTTAAGGTTCAGGCTAAAAGGAGTCAGTAGAGTACAGTCATTGTGAGGTATAAGGAGTGATTTACGGACCTAAAGTGACCACCATTTTTTGGATTTTTGGAAAGAAGCCTCATCATCTTACCTTAGAGAGGGCATCATCATCATTTATGTACGGTAAGAGAAAATGTTGATTCTATGGTGACAGATGTGGTGTTTACCGTATTCGGTCGGTGTGCCCTATTTGTTGATTATCCTAAGAAAGATAAACTACACGGGTGTTCATCCTCTTACGAAACCTGTACATCTTCTTTCTTCAATTATGCTGGAATGCTCGATAAATTCCTGGTCAAAGGGATAACTTCTAATAATATGATGACTGATAAATACAAATTAGAAGCTTTGTGGTTAAATATTCTTGAGAATGTTCCGAAGTTATTGAGGAATATGCTAAAGCATATGCTACTCAAGTAAGAATATTGCTTTTAATAAATCTTGTTCGGGACTGGAAATTTTAACTTCGGCTGAAAATTTTTCATTTAAAAGATTCCTAGACATCACGTATTTGTTTGGAAAGAGCACTAAATTAGGCCGAATAAATCTGGCTGCAAGTTTATTACCATTTTAAATAACTTAACCAAAAGAGAAGTTGAAATCTGTACTAATTAAAATTTAAGTCTTCAGCTTGAATAATTTAGGACAAAATCTCAAATAGTAAAACTTAGTTCCAGTGAATGTTGGTTTATGCTAAAATAAAATAGTGAATTTACCAAATTATTTTGTATTTTAATGAATCGAAAAAATATTATTTTACAAATTTCCTCAATTTAATAATCAGCTTTAAAGTTTAAATGTTATGAATTGAAACAAGAAATATATATATTTATTTTATTTTATTTATTTATATACAAGAACGTACACTGGGGGTTAAGAGAGAACATAGAAATGAAGTTGATTTTACATTCTTGTAAAGCCACTAGCACGCATAGCGTTTTGGGCTTATCCAACTGTGTACAGTAATTAAACATTTTAAGAGCATAATTAACATACACTCGACTAAAATAGCTAAACAATTTTGAGATGTATAAACCTCAAGGTTCTCAAAATGACAATGAAATATGCATGCATAAGATGGGGTGATGCTGGACCCCCATTGCTACCCCCCATTTATCTGTTAGCGGAGTTTACCATTAAATAAAAATTCAGAAAACATGTTACCGGTCGGAATATTCAACCACTTACTAAGGTGTTTTTCACGCAGATCAAAATTACGGGAATCTCTTGAGTTAGGCCATTTAAAATCATGTGTGATGTTTCTCATCTGTCACACTTCATGTGATTTGAATATTATATAAATGTATATATATATTTTAAAGAGATATTGGAGGTACCACCTCTGGAGCAATTATGGGGGATCCATAGCCTCAGAAGAGGAAATGGGGGAGCATTCGGAGAAAATGTTTAGATTTTAAAAAATGTGTTCGCCTTGGCTTTGGTGTCCAAAGGGTTTGGAAAGGATGGGGGAGGTAGAGGGATGGGGAGGTGAAATTCTGGAAGAGGCTGTGAATGTAGAGAGAGAGAGGGAGGAGGTTTGAAAGTTCGGTGCCCTGGGCCACCATGGGTTGGCGTATGTGTGTGTCGTTTGTTTGGGTATGTGGTATGTTGGGTTGTCAGTACATTGGCTGGGGGGGGGGAGTAGTGTTTGTGTCCAGGCCGGTGTCTGGAGGCTCTAGAGCCGCTGGGGTTGGCTGCGGGAGATTAATCTTAGCAACATCAGAGTGGTTACTCTTCTGGTAGCACAAAAAATGTTTTTTGTTGTTATTTATTTATTTTTTATTATATTTATATTAAACTTGTTTACAAAGATGCCTACGTTAAATTCGAAAAAAATAAATATAAACTTTAATTATCTACAACACCTGTAAACTAAAGCAATATGGATACATTATAACTGCTCAAATCATAGCCTATAATAGGAATGACGTCCGGACTAACCTGACGTCTACGGATAGTCTCCAACAAGGCACTTGACACACCAGTGTACGAAGAATACCTGTAATATCTGCACTCTCCTGTATAACCTTATTCCCCGCAGAGTTTGACTCGAAGCGTTGCTTAATGTCATTGACATGTTCTAAGGCAAGATTTGAGTCCCTTACTGAACTTTGACTTCTGAGAGTCATCACATTCACTTAGTTTCCGACTGGCTATTCCCCGACCGTCCAAGTGGTTGGTCACCATTCCTTCCCCCCGATCCCATCCCAAATCCATCCTGACCCCTTCCCAGTGCTATATAGCCATAATGGCTTGGCGCTTTTCCCTGATAAGTTGATTAGTAGATTCCGACTGGCTAATGATGCTTGAGCGTCTTAAGACTTAGGCTAGCTTCAGGCAATGTTAACCATCTTATGGGGTATCGTAAACATCCAAATCTCCTAGTCTCTGTTTGAGCCTTTTCAGGTCGTTTAGTTTTCCTCGAAGATTGCAGCAGTTTTAGGAGAATATTATATTTTGTTTTGTTTCTTCCGGGTGTATTCGTGCGCGGGCTTAAGTCTCTGGCTTAAGCTTCAGTCTTATGCGGTAGATTAGTGTCTATGACTCGTGTTGTGGTTTCTGTAAGGTTATATTCAATGGGTTTGACAACGTCGGTGTTGTTTGTACGATTGTAAATGGGTATAATGATTGAGGCTTGTGGTAAAACCGGATTTTACTGCATGAATGGTGTGACTAGATGGAAGAAATTTTTTCTGCACGAAAAGATGTCGAAGAGACCTTCTCCCTGGAATCCCAGACCGTCTCCCCCTGGGACCCATACAGATTATTCGGCATCTTGCAATTCAGCATTTGAGTCCTGATGGCTGTCTAGTATTTGGCCACATGAATCTCGTCCCGCCTGCATGGTAAGAAATGCCCCACTGTCATATGTGCAAATATCCAACACAAGGCCTATCAAGGCCCTCGGGACTTGTGTATTCACTTTGCACATGTTCCGGTCCTTTGGAGCTTTTGAGCCATCTTTGGAGCCGGTCGGCTGAGCGGACAGCACGTGGGACTTGTGATCCTGTGGTCCTGGGTTCGATCCCAGGCGCCGGCGAGAAACAATGGGCAGAGTTTCTTTCACCCTATGCCCCTGTTACCTAGCAGTAAAATAGGTACCTGGGTGTTAGTCAGCTGTCACGGGCTGCTTCCTGGGGGTGGAGGCCTGGTCGAGGACCGGGCCGCGGGGACACTAAAGCCCCGAAATCATCTCAAGATAACCTCAAGATAACCCATAAATTATTATTGTTAATTAACAATTAAAGGACTTTACGAACGTCATTATTAATGTACCGCACCTCAATTAACTTTTAATGCATATATAACTTATTTATTTTTTATATAAACACAATAGGCTTGTATACCCTTGTTCAAGTTGGCTGCGATCTCTCTCTCTCTCTCTCTCTCTCTCTCTCTCGCTAGCATATTACCAAGAATAAGTTTATTACAGCTGGGTTTTCTTACAAATATAACTAGCACTACCCTATCCATAGGACAAGAAGTCTTTACTGTAGAGTGTCGAGGAGAAGAAAGTATTTCTATGGAACAAAGTTCACCAACATGATACAGTGACGGACGGACAGACCTTGCCGTCAACGACGTCATTTTCCGTCTTGTAAAAACCATGCAGATAAGCGTAATATTTCAGGCCATCCTCGTGTTTAGACAGTACTTATAATAACGATGGGGGGGGCGTCGTGCACATATATATTGACGTTATGGACAAGTACAAAGCAGAATTTGGTACAACTGAATTTGGACACACCAGAAAAGGTTTTGTAATTATGTTTGCCAGTAAAGCCTAACCTTCCTAGGGCCTAATACACGCTATCTGAGGCCTAGTATAGTACATATATGTGCTATACTAGGCCTAGGAATATTTAAGTTTGGTTTTTAGCCTTTTTTCCGGACTCTAATAAAGTGAATAGTACCAAATTCTACTTTCTTCTTGTCCATTACGTCTGTGTATATATATATATATATATATATATATATAATATATATATATATAATATATAATAATATGAACGACTCTCCTCATGGTTACAAAAAGGACTAACTAAACAGGACGATGGGTTGTTGTATTGTTAAAAGGAATAGGTCACTGGCACCAGGGATGTGTGTGTTGGTATTTAACATTAACAAGACCCCTGTAACACCTGTTAAAACACGTGTGACAACATTCAACCATCCTGTGCGTAGTATCCTGCATCTGGGATTGTTATCAGCGAGGGAATAGTGATAATACAACTGTATCTACATAACAATGACTCGGTATGGAAATATACGGATGCAATTATTGCTCAATATATATCTGGCGACAACTTTTTGTATTTGTTTTTGTGGTTGATTCTAGAGGATTGGTGATCAGTTGTCAGCCCAGGACAACGGCGCCTCACTGTGAATCCTAACATTATTTGTCAAAACGCAACCCCCCGCAAGCACAACTAGGTGAGTACAAACGTGTACTCACCTAGTTGTATTCACCTAGTTGTGTTTGCGGGGGTTGAGCTCTGGCTCTTTGGTCCCGCCTCTCAACCGTCAATCAACAGGTGTACAGGTTCCTGAGCCTATTGGGCTCTATCATATCTACACTTGAAACTGTGTATGGAGTCAGCCTCCACCACATCACTGCCTAATGCATTCCATTTACGTGTGTGTGTGTGTGTGTTATATGAGTCATAGAGATGTGGGAAAGTTTTCTTTTAGCGTGAGAGTAGTGGGGAAATGGAATTAAGTAAAGGAGCACATTGTGGAAGTAAACACTATTGAGAGCTTTAAAACTAGGCATGATAGACAAGCAGGACAGGAGTCATTGCTTTAAGACAACCGACGGCTAGAAAGGCGGGATCCAAGAGCCAACGCTCGACCCTGCAGGCACAAATAGGTGAGTATACACACATGAAAACTTCCCTCCCAGACATCCCATAATTGTTAAAATAACCGATTGTTAATAACAATTGTCCCACAAGTTATATTTTAAAATTGTTTGCGGTCTTATTAATTTAAATTACGTAAGCATATAATTTTTTCGTTATCATGTGATTTTGAAACAGTTTTCCTTTTAATGTTAAGAAAACAAAAATAAGACTATCGTTTATACACCTCAATGTTTGGTACCTGTACTAGACGCCTGTACCCTAATGCCTAATCGTCAAGAGCTCAGGAGTCGTCAAACAGATATACAATCCCTTTACGAAACCTGTACATCTTACCCCAATCTTGATGGCTGTCTTTACACTTATTAAACAGTTGATCAGCTCCGAAGTACTACGTTTTCTATAACAATCATTATCTTGGGTCGCAAAATAAATTCCCAAGCTCAATAAACTGCCAAAATTATAGAGGAAAGATGCATAGGTTTCGTCAGCGGCTGCGTAAATCCCTCATCTAAATCCTGGCCCACTGAGCCTTTTCATACAGAGCTAACAGTTCATACAGAGCTAACAACCTACAGAGAGACGAATGAACTGCTGTTCAACGCTCCCATAATGACCCCGTAATGCATCTGTTGACATTAATTATGTTATTGAACATAAGTTTTTTTTTATCATTTTAAAAAATGATTCTCACCTGCAATATAGTAATCCCGTCAACACGGTAATTACAGCAATTAACGCCGTGGCCCAAGGTATAATCTTATTAATATCCACTCCGTCAAAAAATGCAACAGTTTTTGGCTAGCCAGGAACATTTAAACGCAAGCAACCCCCCCCCCTAATCTCTCCTCCCCGCCT